GGAGAGCAACTAGGGTCACATAACAATGTATGTATAAATTCTTTTATTAGAGACAAACTTGAATTGTAAACTTTCACTTAAAGCACAACAATAAAAAAAAGAATAGAATGGATAAATAAACTGCAGTATAATCATAAAATGGAATACTATACCACAGTGAAAACCAAGGAACTACAGCTGCAGGCTATAGTAGGGATAAATCTCACAAGCATAAGGTTTTGTGAAAACAGTCAGGTACAGAAGACTACAAACAATGGCATGATTCCATTTATATACAATTGAAACTCAGGCCAAACTAATGTAGGAGAAAAGAATATAGAGAGTAGTCACCTTTGGAGCGTGAGGGGGAGGGGGACTAGGGAAGGGCAGGGGTTATGGGGCTGCCAACAATGGGCCTCCCCACCCCTGTTATTTCCTGATATGGGCCACAGTTACTCAGGGTGCTTATTTCACAAAAATTCAAGCTGTCACTGAGGACGTGTCCATTCTCTATAAGTATGCTATACTTCAATTTAAAAAAAGTTTATTTAAAAAAGACTTGAAGGGACTTCCGGCAATATTGCACTCTAGGCAGAAGCACCACGCCGTTCCTCCACAGCAAAGATCCAAAAAACTAAGCCAAACAGAGAAAATAGCAATCCTGAAACCCTAAACATCAAATGAAGTGTTAAATAACTCAGCCAAGCACCAAATGGAGTTAAGAAACTGTCAGAGAACAGAAAGTGAGGAGGCATACATGGAGAGATTCCCTATCACTAATGCAGCATGGATCCACCATCTTGGACTCCTATCAGAGACCAGCAAATAGGCGGTAGGAGAAAACAGCTTCACGAAGCTTCCAGCATGAGACAGAACAACCGGTAATTGGTGATACACGCTTTCCCACCCCACACCCTTCTTCACCCCAACTTGGCCTCCCCTGCTTCCCATGGCCACAGTCTCTTGGCTGGGAAGCACTAGCTGCTTGGATTCTACCCGCCCGCCCTGGCCGACTCCCTAACTGCCATTTGTTGGCTGCTGCGGTTGCTTTTTTCCGCTTCTTTTGATTTCTTCCTTACCTCTCAACACCTCCCCCTCCTTTTGCTCAAATGCCTGGCTCCGTGTGCAATCTTTGCTTCTTCCTGAGGGGCTGTGGAGCTCCGTTCAACTGTGGAACTGCTTCCTGGTCCGTCCTGCCACGCTGGTGGGATTCTAGGGCTTTTTTGTTTGTTTGTTTTCAATTGTTTTCTTTTTCTTCTCTCGAGTTGGGAGCCCATTCTGACCAGGCAGTGCTGTGCAGCTTGGGACCCATCCCCTCAACTTGCGCAGATGCACAGAGGGATCCCTGAGCGCATTTCTTTTTTTCATGTTCTTTTTCTTCTTTCTGTTTTTTGGGGGAGGTTTTCTTGTTCTTTTTTTTTTTTTTTAATTTGTTTTTTTTTTCTTTTCCCTTTTTGTCTTTCTTCATTACTCAGTTTCTTGTCTCTCTATACCTTTCTTCTGTTCCTGTCCCCTGGATACCTGGCACTGAACACCTCTACGCCTCCTAACCAGGCTGTACTTCAACACCTGGGAACAACTTCCCCAGACCTCCTAGCTGCACAGGTGCGATCCCTGGGAGCTTTGCTGTTCTTTTTTCTTTCTAATTTTTATTTATTCATTCTTTTCTTTTCTTCTTCTTCTCCCCCTTTTCGTTTTTCTCCATTTCATAGTCTCTCTTCTCTCCACTCCAATGGCAAGCTCCCCTAGCACTCTTTTTTGTTTGTATGTTTTTGGCTCCTATTCCTCTCTCCTCTCTCCCATACCTATCTTAGCTCCACACATCACAATCTGCCCCCTCCATCCTGCCTACCTGCACCGTGCACTTAACATCACACCACCAAGCAGCACAGGCACGGCCTATCAGAAACTGCCCTGCACTGACTACCTACCCACCCTGGTGACTGTAGTAAGTGCCACAAACAACCCATCCCAGCAACTCCCCTTCACCTAGACCTGCCCTGCTGTACCGTATCTGAACGACTGACCCTGCCAATTGGAGGAGGAGGAGAAAAGTATCGTGCCCACAGACAAGCAAACAACAAAGAACACACAGCCCACCTGCACAGACATAGCCAAATTTAAAAAAAAAGGATGAAACAACAAATCTACAATCAATAAACAAGAAAAATAATTACTGAATGCCCCAAAGACAGCAGACAATATCAAAACATTTACAAAAAGAGGACAGGATGGCTCCAGTAGGTGTCCAAAATAAAATACCAGATGACTTTCCAGTAGAAGAAAAGACACTAGAACTACCTGATAGGGAATTCAAATCTCTAATACTCAGAATTATCTAAGAGTTGAAGCAAAAACCAGACAAAAATGAGGAAAAAATAGACAAATTTATGGAAAACGCAGACAAATTCATGGAAAATACAGACAAAAAAATGGAAGAATTCCAGAAAATAATGCAAGAACAAAATGCCAAAATAAATTCACAACTAGAAATTATACAAAAACAACAATTAGAAATCCAGAAGATAAACAACAAGATTTCAGAAATGGACAGTGTCATAGAAGGGCTGAGGAGCAGATCTGAAACGGTTGAAGATAGAATCAGTGGAATTGAAGACAAACACTTGGATACAATTCTGTTTGAGGAAAAATCAGAAAAAAGAATGAAGAAAAATGAAGAGACCCTGAGAATTATGTGGGATACAATCAAAAGCAAAAATCTGCGAGTAATCGAAGTTCCAGAACAGGGGAAGAAAACAGAAGACACAGAGAGAATCATTGAAGAATTGCTGACAGAAAACTTCCCCAATATCATGAAAGATGAAAAGCTGACCATCCAAGAAGCTCAATGAATCCCATGTAGGATAGACCCCAAAAGAAAATCACCAAGTCATATATATTATAATCACACTAGCTAAAACCAAAGACAAACAAAGTATCCTGAGACCAGCTCAAGAAAAACAAAAAGTCATATACAGAGGAGAAACAATTAGACTAAGCTTGGATTATTTGGCAGAAACTATGCAGGCAAGAAGGTAATGGGATGACACATATAAAACCTTGAACGAAAACAATTCCCAGCCAAGAATAATATATCCTTCAAAACTCTCATTCAAATATGATGGTGAAATTAGGTCATTTCCAGATAAACAGAAATTAAGGGACTATGTAAAAACCAAACCAAACTTACAAGACTTATTAAAGGGAGTCTTTTGATCTGAGAACAAACAACATCAGACCACAGGCTGAATATAGGACACAGGATTGTACTAGCCAGATATCTGCCTAGGAAATGAACTCTCAGGGACTATGCAAAACCAAAAGAATTACAAAAGGGAACCAGAGAGGTTAATCTGTAAATGACAACAGCATCAGAACAATAAAAGAGGGAATAAACGGTGTAGATATAGAACCTTCTAATGGAGAGGAAGTCAAGTGATACCAAATAATAATAGACTGGTTCAAATCTAGGAAGATAACGGTAAATTTCAAGGTAACCACAAGGAAAGTTAACAAACGCACTCATTAAAATAAAGAAGAAAAACATAAAGTCTCAGTAAAAACAAAACCTACAAAAACAAAAGAAATGAAAAAAAAATGCACAAACAAAAGGAACTCAGCACAGAAGAGCAAGAGGAACAAAACTGGAGGACATTATGCTGAGTGAAATAAGTCAATCACAAAAGGACAAATACTGCATGAGACCTCTACTGTACAACTCATGTAAAAGTTTACATACAAAAAAAAACAATCTTTTTTGGTTACGAGGGATGGGAGGAGTGGGGGGGAACTATATAGATAAGTGGTAATGCTGGTGAAGGGTAAGAGAGTACACATTACTGGGGAAGCCAGCACAACTTGTATAAGGAAAGGTCCTGGAAGCTCCATAGACACTTCCAAACTCCCTGAGGGACTGAATTGCTGGGCGGAGGGCTGTGGGGACCATGGTCTCGGGGAATATCTAGCTCAATTGGCATAACATAATTTATAAAGACAATGTTCTACATTCTACCTTGGTGAGTAGCATCTGGGGTCTTAAAAGCCTGTGAGCAGCCTTCTAAGATACTCCACTGGTCTCGCCTCTTTGGCAGCAAGGGAGAATGAAGAGAACAAGATACAAGGAAAAGATTAGTCCAAAGGAGCAATAGACCACAGCTACCATGGCCTTCACCAGATGGAGTCCAGTGCAGCTGGATGGTGCTCAGCTGCCACTGCTGACTGTTCTGGCCAGGATCACAGTAGAGAGTCCTGGACAGAGCTGGAGAAGGATGTAGAACAGAATTCTAACTCACAAAAAAAGACCAGATATACCGGCCTGACAGACTGGAGAAACCCTGAGAGTATGGCCCCCAGACACCCTTTCTGCTCAGTGGTGAAGCCACTCCCAAAGTTCACCATTCAGCCAGGGATTGGACAGCCTCATAAAACAAAATGGGACTAATGAGGCACAGCACTCCAGGGACAAGCAGTAGAAGGCAGGAGGGGACAGGAAAGCTGGTGATAAGGAACCCAAGGTTGAGAAGGGACAGTGTTAACATGTCATGGGGTTGTTAACCATTGTCATAGGGCAATATGTATACTGTTTAATGACAAACTATTTGTTCTGCAAACCTTCATCTAAGGTACAAAAAAAGAAAAAGAATTATCTATGTGAAATCAAACTGACAACAGCAACTCCAAAGGTCTGATGGGAAGCCTAGGGGACAGTGAGTTGAAGATAATGGTGATGGAATAATTTGGAAAAGGATAGTGAGAATAGCAGCACAACTGGAAGAATGTAATTGATGTCACTGAATTTTACATGTAGAAACTTTCAAAATGGTGTAACTCTGGCTATGTATATTTTCACCAAAAAAAAAGATCCTCAAGGTCGAGCAGAGAGAGTGTTGACATGTCATGGGGTTGTTAAACAATGTCATAAAACAATATGTGTACTCACTGTTTAATGAGAAACTATTTATTCTGTAAACCTTCATCTAAAGTACAATAAAAAAATTTAAAAAAAAAAAGATTTTACCCACCTTGAAGTACTTGTCGATTTTAGTTAAGTTGATTCTCTTCTTAGCATCCAATTTATAGATATTACTGACACTACCATCCATCAAGTACAGACCAAAGCCCATGACCTGAAAATCCACAAAATGTTGCAATAAAACTTACAACTGCAAATTACCCATAAGCACTTACACTATTATAGCTGATAATTTTGAAATGACAATTGACACTTTTTTCCAAAAAACACTTTGAAGAGCTTCTAGGAAACAGAGCTATCCCTTCTTATGAAGCTATTCTTACATGTATATTCTTTCTGTGGCTATTTCAATTTCCTCCTAAGGCGCACACACCAGCTCTGACTCTTGGAAACAGCAATGTTAATACTACACATTTGCAGGTACCATAAGAATTAAGAGGAAAAAAAAACCAAACACACTGCCATCGAGTCGAACCCGACTCATAGCGACCCTATATGACAGAGCAGAACTGCTCCACAGGGTTTCCAAGGATTGCCTGGTGGATTCAAATGGCTGACCTTTTTGGTTTGCAGCCATAGCTCTTATCTACTACGTCATCAGGGTTTCCAAGAATTAAAAGAGGGCTCCCAAATACCTTTATCAGTTCTTAAACCAGCCAGCACTTTTAACGTTAATGTCACACCAACCAAGCCAGGGGCTGAGATAAAACACTGTCCCTGGAGTGCAAGTAACATGAATGACCAAATGTACAATCTGTTCAGCACACTAAACAAGCAGTAGGATTCAACATCAGGTACAACAGTGACCTAACTGAGGCTGAAATTGGGGCAAGGGGATTCTTGAGTTGTATGAAAGGCTTTTCTCCGATTCAAGATTCCATATCCCCAGACAGTCCCCAAAAACAGGTTCATGAAGGTACGTTTTCAGGCTGGTTGTCAAGTACGTGAAACATGTTTTTCCCACTGAAATCATGCTATGAAGGATGGCCAGCTTCCAGGCCACCTGATAAAAACTGAAAAAACAAATCCTCTAGCCTACCCTAAGCAGCAAGGGAATTCTAGAACTACATTGTGCAACGCAGTAGCCACATGAGACTATCTAAATCTAAATGCATGTTAAATAAGCTTTTTAACATGGCACTTACCACACTACAGTGGCTTCTGCCTGAGACAGCACAGATACAGACACCTCCACCCTCACACGAGAGCTGCTCCAGTCCTGACTGCCTTTGCAGTGTTCTTCCAAGCTCCCCCTCAACCCATCACAGCAGGAGGCCAGAGGCCTTGCTGCTGGGCCTGCTCCTGCAGGAGGGCTTTGGACAGTGAGGATACCCAGCAAAGGTACCCACAGGGCTGCCCTCTGCAAAGGGAACAGCAGAATTTCCTTTTCATCTTTCCAGTGAGCTATGTAGATGAAAACCTCCCAATTGGAAACAGAAGAATGATAAAAAGAATATGGTGAACAGCCATATCTCTTGACCAACAGGTCAACTTTAGCATATTTAATTCCAGGAATCACATCCTTGAAAGGGAAGTCCTATACAACTTCTGCTCCGGAAGCTTAGTGAAATGGTACTCCCTTACCCTAGGACCCCCTCACCCACAAGGGCAGCACCATCTCCAGGACTGAGTGTGAAACTGCAGCATCGCTGCGCAGTGCAGACTGCACGTGGGGGCTGGAAATGCTGCACACACAGTGCACGCACAAGAATAAGAAAAGGGTGCAAGGACTCTAGACAAAGCTTAGCATGTCAACGAGAGCACACACTGTTCTTGGCAATCCTACTGTCAGCTGCCTCCACACGTACCTTGAGGAGCATGTGTTTCTCACTGGGTGTCAAGTACATTTTATTCTCGTAGTAATCCACACACAAATTCACAATGTCTGCAAGGAGTTCTTCATAGCCAGAGATTACTTCAAGCTGCTGCTGCAGAGACTGAAACACAAAGCAGGGACATGTCTACTGACCATCTGGACTGCACGTGCTGACCAGGGCAGTGTGGCAGGGCCCTCACCTGTGTGATCTTGTTGTGGTTGGCTAGGAACATGGACAGATTCTGTGATTCCTGGATGGACTGTGGATCCGCCATTTTCCGTAAAAACTGAGCAGCCCTTTCAAAGCAATGATCAGAGTTAATCCCAAAATGTACTTTTTGATTTAAAAAAAAAAAAAAACAGCCTGGGAAAATGAGGATGACATTCTTCTCTCTACAGTTATTTGTAGAGACGTCAATGTTAGCGACCGGTTACCACTTCAGCCTTTCCGTGTTTCTCCAGCCCAGGACTCCGAATCAGTCTTTAGCCCAATTAGACTTGTCTTACACAGCTCTGGACAGTCACAACCCTACTTCTCTACAGCTGACGGTCTTCTTTAGAGACAGTACAGCACGCACCACCCCCATGAGCATAGGCACAGACCAGCTCAGCTGGGAACCGTCTGGGCCACCACGCCTCTTGACAAGGGGCACATGTCCCTGGAGATGCTGCCTCAGGAACCACACACAGTTTTGGTACCAAAAGTTCTGAGACAAAGTCCTGGTTCTACCACCAGCTTGCAGCTCTATCCCGGGAAAGCTCTTTTAACGTTCCTAAGCCGCAGTTATCACATCTGTGAACAAACCACACCCAAAAGACTGACGTGAGAATAATCAAACGGGGTCAGTGTATGTGAAAGTACCTGTACGCCAAGGCCCAACAGAAACAGGAGGTCCACACAGTGAGTCTGTGTGTCCTTGAAGATGTGGAGTTGGGTGTGAGGACTCTGGCCATCTCAGGCTGCCCCCACAAGGTTCAGCAGAAACTGCCCACATGAGGATATATGTCTGTGCAATCTAGAACCTTGAAGGTTTAACTAAAATAAAGTTCCCATGGCACGGACTGATAACCTACCCCAACAGTCATTCCTCCTCTCCTCCATCGTAAGAAACTCCTAGTTGACACGCAACAGCAATGTGCCCGGCTAAAAAACTGCATTTCCTTGCAGCCGGCTGTGGCCACATGACTCAGGGCTGGACCATGAGACACTATGCAAAACACTGTATGGTACTAGAAGGTCTACTTATACGGGAGAGCTGGGGCCCGTCTCATCTCCTTCCTCCTTGCTGACTGGAATGCAGAAATAACACAACAGGACAGCAGAGCAGCAGGAGAGCAGGCTCCCTGGCTCCCTGAACACTGGGGAGCAAATGCATCACAGTCCCACCTACACTGGCACTTTTCAGGAAGCAAAAAAGAAACTGCAGTCTAGTTTAAGCCACTGTTATTTCTGTGGGTTTTAAAAATTGTACAGGTTAAAACAAATATTAACAACATAGTAACATTCCTTGCCATTTTAAATGTGTCTACTTTATTGATTTGAATAGTTCTTTCCGGGGGTGAGGGATCAAGGATGCTGTTTTCTATTTTCCCCAAGCCTCACTATAAACCTATAGGTTATCATGGCATTTACACTCAGAAGGGGTTGTGCTACCAGTTGGCTGCAATAAAGTGTGGGGGTATGAGGGCTTATGAAGAGTGGGGATAACTGTCCAGGATGGTGTCCAACAGGGGTCCAAACAGAGGTTGCAGAAATGGCAGAAGGAACGGTTGTGTGTATTGTGCTCAGGGGAGCCTAGGGGATGCCTGGATCTGGAGAAAACGTGCTACTACTACAAGAAAACACCTTTTGAAAAGCGAAAGCCACCGATGCTGCCCACCTCTCCTGCTGCACTGACAAAGCCAAAAAGGCTGAGGAAGCTGCTCCAAAGTGCGCCACGGGTGCACAGTGCAACCAGGCCACGTCCGCCTGTACCTCGGAGCCTCACCAGGTCCCACGCAGCATGTCAAACACAGGTGGCACCCAACACCATCAGCAAACAGGGTAATAACCCGAGAGCTGGGTTAACAGGTCTGTTTCTAGCCCTGAAGCTCTAGGCTTCCGTGCAGAGCTGACTTTAGGTGATAAATGGAATGTCTGCACTCACTTGTCATGAACAAGCTTAAGGTTCCAGGCGATCTAGTGCGACTCCCACCGACGCGTCCCCCTCAAACCTCAGCTTGGTGTCAGGTCCCACCCCAATGTTACTTTAAGACAGACGCAACACATAGTCAGGTACAAAGCACCATCTCTTCCAATTCATTTTTATAGCTGTTGGGCTCACCTGGCATTGATTGGTTTCTCCAGGCCCACAGTCTCCTAGGGATGGCCCTGGCATATGGATACCCTAAAATTACATCTGTTGAAGACCAAATATCTTAAAAGTCTTCTCTGTGTTAGACTATAACCTTCATGGTTTTAGTGACCACTTCTGTTTGCCCACTACCACAACATGTCACCCTGATCTAGCTTTACAAAGGGGCAGTATACATACACGACCACCACAATGTGTCACCCTGATCTAGCTTTATAAAGGGGCAGTATACATACACCACCACCACGTGTCACCCTGATCTAGCTTTATAAAGGGGCAGTATACATACACCACCACCACGTGTCAC